ACTGACCAGTTTGGGGTTTGGTAGAGACCCAAATCACTATCTTTGAAACCTGGCAAGAGAAAAAAATGAAACATCTATTTCCTATATAAAATTTCATCACTGGTTATTGGCTATAAAAATAGTGTATTGTTAGGGCCAGCAGGAGGCATAGTGGTTAAGGCACTGGACTCCCGCGTGGCTGACCACAGTTTGAGTCCTGGACCCAGTGGCTTGAAACTCACGCCGGGTGCGTGTGCACATTCCCCAAATCCCGAGACGAGAATGGAGGAGAAGGGACAGCAGTGTGGTCACCCTCTCTAGAGGATGACTTCTTGCTTTCTGTCTATCTCTGTCTCTCTGGTGAGCACAAGCGCCCTATAGCAAATTTCTCTCTAAAAAAATAAATATAGTATTGTTATAAAAATGCTCCAACTTATAAATATGTAAAAGCATTCCGACTAATACATGAAAATTATTGAATTAGAATATTACTATTTTGCAACTCCCAAGAAATTAACATATCTAGATACTGGGCATCAATAGCTGGTAATACCACAAAACTAGAGAAAACCAGGTATTTGTCACCTGATAAAGGAACAGCACCACCTACACTCTTTTCAAAAGGATTAGACCTAAGCCTGAGAAGCCTCTGGCTCCACCAGCCACTCTGCAGGAAACAGAGACGGAGAAATCACCAATCAGGGAGAGAAATCCTAACTTTAAAGACTTAGGTCTTTAAATAAAAACTGAAAATGTAAATCAGTGAATATTCTATTCAAAAAAGAAATTAAGTTTTTAAAACATGGAAGGAAATAGATAAAAGTTCCCAAGTCCTGATTTTCTCAAATCAAATGCTCACAGTATGGATGCTAACTTCTACTCCACTCTCGAGATGGGCTCCTGGATTTGGACTGTGGTGGGAGGGTAAGAAGCTGGGACCATGGGGACCGTCTTTGGACTCCATAACTCCTAATACAAAATGGAAGGTAACCATCTCCTCAGGTGGCCAAGGCATTTTCACCAGAAAAGCACGACTATACAGCTTTTCCACCTGGAGCTTCAAAATTACTTTCATACGAGCAAAGGCAGCACGAGGGGCAGAATTAGTATAAATTGACCCTGACTGCATTAGGTCGGTGCAAACGTAATTGAGGTTTTGCATTGTTGAAATTTGCTGTTTGATACCGGATACATTCTTAAATAAATGTGGCTGTTACGGATCATTTAATGTGCATTTCTTGTTTCTTTTTTTTTGCTAATAACTTATTGATGTTTATTTTATACATATTTTAGACTAAGGAAATATTGCTAGATGAAAAGCAAATTCAAGCCATTTTCTTACTGGAGTTCAAAGTAAGTTGTAAAGGGCGGCCGGGGGCTCCCGCCCCCTGCGCGGCCTTGCGCCGGGTGGCCGGGGGCTCATGCCCCCTGCGCGGCCGCGCGCCAAACGGCCGGCCCCCCTCCGGGCCCAGCCTCCCTGGCCTCTCCGTGCTGGATGTCCTGGAGGACAAAAACAAGGTTGAAGAACTTGCAACTTGAGAAGATGATAGCTACCAGCCCTGCATTACCTCAGGGGAAAACAAGAACTACTCTGCCATTCTTAAGGAAGCCAGATACCCAAGGACAACTCACACTGCAGATCCCCACAACACCATTCCTGGTAACTACAAGATGACTGCTGTGCCGCATCAGCTGATAATCATCCCTGCGTACCAGAACTGCTTTCCTGAAACTGCATTCCCTGGAGACTCACCTACACTTGCGGATCTGCAGGAGACCCTCCCTTAATCCAACCCTGAGTGGAGTTTATGCTCCCTATTGCCAAAAACTTTATGAGCTGATGGTTGGAACTCGTGGCCTCTCTCCCTTTACTTGTATGTATCACTTTTTCAGTAACTCTTCTGGAAGACAACTGTATATAGCAGGGATATTGTAATGGGAGAGTGAGACAGGGCAGAGGGACAAACATAGGAAAAAAAA